GGGGGGGGGGGGGGGGGGGGGGTCACGACTGTCAAACACAGCTGGAACTTCTCAAAGTCACCTCCACGAGAAATAACTCAATACTTCGTCTGTATAATGACATCACTTTGGTTTTACAAGACGTAAGAATATCTGATTAAAGCTGGAAGAGTTTATTTAAGGTGATGAATAAACAACGTGGAACCAAAACTAACGAGAACACACGAAGCTTGTTCGGACCAGAGATCAAAACAGCTCCTCAAAGTCGAGTTTAATGAAGCTCATTCTTTACGTTTTAACTGTTTCTATTTGAAAAGAATCGATTCATTCACCTTCCTTTGATTTCTTTCTAATTCTCTGTGGTTTTCCAGAGACGGACACACACGCGACAGTGAAGTGCTTCATACACACAATGTCAGCAAACACACAACATGTGACTCTTTCATGTTGGAGCTGAGAAGATTCAACATCTGTCCATGAAGAAAAAGGAAAATGCTGCTGGGACACAAGATGGAGGTGAAACTTCAAGAGTCCAGACAGCATCAGTGTCCCTCTGAAGGTTCTTGTGGGTGTTTGCAAAGTCAGATGATCATTTTTAGAGTTTCCGAGCTCCTACCTGAGGCTTCGGGACCGCGGCCTCATGGCGGGGGAGTGGCGTCCCTCCTCGTCCGTGATGCTCTCGGAGCTGAAGTGTTTGGTGAGGAAGTGCAGCTCGTCCGGCGTGGGCTGGAAGGGCAGCTGGTGCAGCTTCTCCTGAGATGAACAGGAGGACTGTGAGAGGAGGAGCACAGAGGGAGCACAGATTACAACCAGCACTGGAGCTACAGCGGGGTGAGGCGGGAGCGAGGCGGGAGCGAGGCGGGAGCGAGGCCGGGACGAGAGAGGACCAGGTTTGACTCAGACTGACGGGTTAATGGCTAAAGGACGAGAAGACATGGAGAGCAGGTCGACCCACTGTGATGTCACTCTTTTGTTTTAGAGTTCTGTCCTCCCACAGTTATTGCTTCTGCGCTGCACAGCTATGTCTAGCTAGCTAAGGTTAGCACACACAGGCTAAAGACAAATATAGTTTCGTGTCATATTTAATCTATTCAATGACACGACTACACAAAGCCCTGTCGCAGCTTGAGTCCCAGCAACAGATATCACGTGTCACGAGTTAACTATCCAACAGGCTTCACTTTCCGGACCTGGAGTCTACGGCCATTTTTATTTGCAGTCCATGCAACAGAGCTTTAGAGAACTGACTCGACTCAGACGTGACAGATGTTGGTGTTTTTATCAAATTAAAGTCATTTGACCTGTTTCATGTTTTTGTCCTGACGTGAGGATCTGAGGCTCGGTCCTCCGTTAGGCCAGTAAGCTAACGGCCTTTGTCCGAGCTAAGAGCTAACTCAGCTCACTGCCTTGGAAACATGCTGGGTCTTAGTCCGCAGACGGCTGCTACTGAGAAACTGCACACTGGGGTTTTAAGAAGGGAGATGAAGGAGCAGCAGGAGGAGGAGGAGGAGGAGGAGACCAGAGGGACTGTTGATACATCCCAGGGAACAGAGGAAAAAAAAGGAGGAGAAACATAACAGGAAGCAGAAGTACACTTCAGGGCATCAGAGGGGGGAAGCAACGAGAGAGATGGGGAAGAACAAGGTTTTCGATCGTGGCTGAGGGAGCTTTTGAGAGCTTGTTGCTTTGCAGTTAAGTCGGAGGGAGCAGAAAGCGCTTATCTGTGGGTTCTTTGGGTCCACAGATCATTATAAAATACAAAGTGCACAAACACAGACAGAAACAGAGCGATACAGACATCAAGACATTTACCGAGACAGTGGAGCTGGGAGTGTTGGTGCCATAGCCAGAGGACGGCAGCGAGGCCAGAGACCAGCGTCTTCCATCCGTCCTGCAGAAGAGAAGATTCATTACAACACAACTCAACACAAAAAGATAACACACCAACGCTGAGCAGACGCAGCGTCGTCACAAACAGCAATAAGATGCAGCATTGAAGGAGGGAAAATGCAAACTCGAGGAAAACGTGTGCGGACAAAGCAAAGAGCAGAACGAGACGTTGAGTGAAGCCTGAATGAAGAAACTCTTCAGGTCTGATGTTAGTCTCTATATTTCTATACAAGCAAATCCCATTTCAACAGCCAGTGACTGTGACTCTGCTCGGAGCTCACTGGATCCAACTGAAGATGGAAATCACTGTCAGTTCCATTAGAGGAGGAATATGAGTCACAGCGGATCAGTCGCCCTCAAACAGGAGGCCGCCCTGTGTTTGTCTGGGACTATTTTCAGTGGCGGATTAAATCACATTTGATGCTCTAACAGCGGAGGTTCTCTTTTGCACACGGGATTTGTTGAAGACATCAGAAGAAACATCAGCAGCTTCATCCACATCTCAAAGGTTCTGCTCTAAGTGCGAGCAGCAGGAGGCGCTGTTCCTCCAGAGCGTTCAGCGGCAGCAGAGGACGAGGACCCTGCGGGGTCGTCTCTGATGTCACTCAGAGTGTGTGCGCTCAGCCATGCAGGACGGAGGGCAGGAAAAAAGAAGGAGGGAAAAGGACTGAGGTCAAAAACTCAAGAGGTTACCTGTCAGCCCTGTGTCCGTGACTGCGAGGGAGACAAGACAATGGTTTTCTGTTTACAGCCGTCACTCACACAAACGTTACAAACACACTTTCTGCAGCTTCTCAGAATAATATAGATCTTCTAAGAAT